TATATTGCCTGGACAACTTGGTAGGCTCAAACCATATCCTAACAATCACTTTCTACTCAAAATGCCATCATTAAACCTGCTTCCCCCCATCCCCTAAATATCTTGCTTGAGACACGTATTTTTGATAAAGCAGCCCATGCATTACTTCTTTTGTCGTGCCGTTTTCTAAATTAAGCTTAAATGAGCTAAGATTTTTAAAATGTTATAAAAAGTTCTTCATGGGTTAAATCAAGTTTTAATATGATTCACAAATTCTCTTCATATTTACTTATCTATACTGTAACAGGTGGTATTTTACCTATGGAATTATTTAAACTGGAACATATTCATCCATGTATATATTCATTCTTTTCCTTCCTCTCCTTGTTTGCTCTCTCATAACTTCCATCAACAGAGTACTACCAAAGACTGTTTAAGGCTTCCCCATTTATCAAAATCATATTGGCAGAGCATGAGGACTTTCTCTCCATGGGAACCATGATCTCTTTCAGGACACATTTTTGAACTGTCAATGGGGGTACAATTGTTCAATAATAATTATCCACCAAATTTTGGATGAGCTCCTAGCTTTGTACCCCAAACAACAATTGCATTGGAAGATGGAAGAAGTATGAATAATATCTACAGCCAGTTTTTTTCCATTTAAAAACACTTTGAGACGTAGATATAGACTTAGACATAGACAAATTTCAGAGGAATTGGGCTTGGACATAATTCAGTGTCCCCACCCCATTCCTACAAGCAGTATAATTGTTCTATAATACAATTTTATTTTGCCTAGACCAGAAGTGTAAGGTTCATACATAGTTCTTACATTCTAGTTTCACAGAACTTGGGTTAAGCTAAAAGATGGTGAGCAGCCCGAAGTCATCTACTGAGCTTCATAGATTGTCTCCTTCAGTCTTAGTCCAGCACAGTGGTGAAATCCAAATTTTTTTGCTACCGGTTCTGTGGGCGTGGTGGGCATGATGTGGCTTGGTGGGCGTGGCTTGGTGGGCGTGGCAGGGGAAGGATACTGCAGAATTTATTTATTTATTTATTTATTGGTTCGATTTATATGCCGCCCTTTTCCGGAGACTCAGGGCGGCTTACAATGTGTTAAGCAATAGCCTTCATACTTTTGTATATACCTGCTTAGTAGGGCTTTCGCCCCCCCCAAGCGGTGTTCTTTTTTTATACAAAGTCAGCTTATTGCCCCCACAAACCGGGTCCTCATTTTACCTACCTCGAAAGGATGGAAGGCTGAGTCAACCTTGAGCCTGGTGAGAGTTGAACTTGCAGTAATTGCAGGTAGCTGGTGTTACTTAACAGTGCTTTAGTCTGCTGCGCCACCAAGGCTCTGTTAAATCTCCATTCCCACCCACTCTGGGGCCAGCCAGGGGTGGTATTTGCCAGTTCTCCGAACTACTCAAAATTTCCGCTACCGGTTCTCCAGAACCTGTCAGAACCTGTCAGAACCTGATGGATTTCACCCCTGGTCCAGCATGGCCACCATATTGCCTTGGCTAAGTTTTAAATCTCCTTCACTCATATCTTTGAATGCTATAGAGTAAGCATGAATTAAGTTTATATCCACTTATTTTTCAGCAGATGGCTATCTAAATAAAGGTAACATCCTGGAGATATCCCCAAATTCGGGGCAGCTATTTGACAAGCAATTTCATAGAAAAGATCCTAATGGGGCTCTTTGGTTACAATGAAATAAGAGAATATATTTTGTTTTCTATTATATTTTTATGCTGTGGGCTCTGAAGGGTTACTCTTCTTCCTGGTCCAATTAAACAATAACATGTACATAACATGAAAAGTGGATTCAGATGCCTACACCTTTTGACTGTAATCAGCCCAAAAGTAAGTTATATTTACTGCTGAAATAGAAAAGACTAAATCAGGGAACAAATAGGTTACAATAATCTACCCACCCTAAAGAGCTTTAATTAACATTAAAGGATGATTTTCCTTTTTGAGCAAAAAAACCAACAACCTATCCATGGGTATTGTCCAAGGGGTTTAAATCCTAATAAACAGAATGATTAATGGAGTTAATGGAAATGCAAGTTAATTTATATTTATTTTATATTACGTCCTTGAACAGCTGTGATAAGAGATGTACATGAACTTTACTTGCTGCTTTTAGCTAGCATTAAAACATTTTTGGACCTCTGCCTGGTCTGAGAGTCAGTAAAATAAGGAGAACAATTTGTTTTACTGAGCCCAAACATAGCATATTTTGTAAAAAGTCCTCACCACTTCAAATCCAGTATAATGCTACTAAATGCAATGGGTTCACAATATTAATAACCTACCTCAGGAAGATAGAAACTCTTAGTAGGCATTCAGCTGTAGAATGCTTTAACAGCCAGAGTTACCAGAGATAAAAATGTACTGCTGTGAAGGATGCAGCCACGAACCAATGACTTCTTACATTACAATTCTGTTTCAAAAAGCGAGCCGGATGATCAAACCTGGTTTTAGTGTGGCTTACGCCACTAGCCTCATTGTATTTTTCTGATACTTTGGGTGACACCAAGTGGTAAACTGAAGCACTGCTATTTTATATTGTGTACATGTAGAACATGAAGATGATAGAAACATGTATAGGGCAGTTATAAGGAAACTTTCAGGCTTGGTGAGTCAAAAATTGAGAAAATGCCTAACTTGACTGCTATCCCCCAAATAAAAAAGAAACAATTCATTTATTTTAAAAACTCTATAACAGTAACAGAGTTGGAAGGGGCCTTGGAGGTCATCTAGTCCAACCCCCCTGCTCATGCAGGAGACCTGTGCTAGGGATTCAAACCGCCGAACTGCCAACCTTTCTGATCGACAAGCTCAGTGTCTTAGCCACCGAGCCACCTAGTGAGGAATAGCATAACAGTCCAATTGTGTGCGTGATCCCAGGATCTGCCGTATGCCACTTATCTTCAGTCTGTGTTTTTTTCCTGTTGATAGGCTGTTGCAGTCTACCTGAGACTTCTCCAAGTTGCACAAGGCCTTCTTTCTTGAAGCGGCTTCAGAGAATTCTCCTCTGTGGCCTCTGTACTTACACAAAGCTTGTAAAAGCACACCTTGTTTTGGTGTGGCTCACGAGAGCATTGCCCTCTTCTGAGACTTCTGGGGAGACTGGCCGCTGCATAAGAGCATACCCCATTCTCACAAGAACTGCCTAGCTGCATGTCGTAGGTTTGCCATCCCTGGCATTGAGATTTGATTCATTAGGTTGAAGTCCTAGGCACGGTTACTTTGGACTAACCATCACTGAACAAAGTAGACACCATAAAGTGTTTTATGGCAACTTAACAAATTGCTGCATGCATTTTGGGGCAGCACAATGCCACTCCATGCATCGAATGAGTCACAAATGCTTGTGTGATAATACATTTATTAGGTTTTAAAGTGCCACAAGATTACTTTTGTTGCTGCGATGCAACTCTCTTTGACCAGAGGTCTTCAGCTACCTCCCTTCGTTGAGCCTCAACTCTCATAACATTTAAGGATTTTGCTGTATCAAATCAGCTAGCCAATGGCTGCAGAGAAGACATGAGCCACCTACACACCAAGCTGTTTAGCCCCAAGGTGGTTTGGAGCTTTGAAGATGAAGATTTTTGAACACAGGAAAAAGATCAAAACAGTTCATGTTAAGAATAGTATTCCATTATGTTGGCCAGAAAAAGGAATATTTCTGTTTCCTTAATGACTTAATAGAGTTCTCCTCTGGTCTCATGTCTAATAATAAAGGAAAAGCTAAATTTAGGCAGACAATTAGTACTTTGAAGCCATCCATAAATTATTTTACTAAGCTTTACCATAATTAATGTCCTTATAAATTATTTTTCTCTCTAAAGGGGGCAGTGATAACAAAGTCAAAAATGTGTAAGCTCATCAACTTTTTCACTGTTATCATTTTCTTGTTAAGAACACTTTCTGTGACAGAGATGCTCAATTATAGGAAATAGTATGGGAAATTTACAGTAATATATTATTATATTTCATTGCTTTCTGCCAACGGATGTTGATGGTGTGCTGTTATTTAAGCCAGTAAGCCCATAGAATAATTATTTGCCTTTCCAGAACAATGGAAAACTGAAGTCGCAATTTCCATTGCCATGGGAAAATAATCTATTCGTTCAGTGATTGATGAGATAATTAATAAGAATTTGTTCTGTTCCATTTGCATAAAATGAGTTTGCAAGTAGCCTTTGTTTGCTTGTACTATACATTTCTGCAATACATTTCTGCAACAAGCAAGTCAGAAATTCTGTCATTTAAACTTAACCTGAAAAGTAATTAAAAATAATCTCTGTGCTGTGAGATAGGATCACATAGACTTCTGGGACAAGAAGTTTCCAGCTGCATTATATTTAAGAATTCATTTCTTTTTGTTAAAATTAATTTAAGAATGTAGATGAATGGTTTTTTTCTTTAGAAATCTGTTTTTTTTAAGTAATAAGGCAATTACAGTAAATTATAACAAACAACTATAATACATCATAATAAAAATCACTTTTTTCAGTTTATAGTTATATGATCAAATTTATCATTTTGTGTAGTGGATAAGGCATTAGGCTAGTGACTGGGAGCCCATGAGCTCTAATCAGAGCTGGTATTCAGCAGGTTCTGACCAGTTCTGGAGAACAGCTGGCAGAAATGTTGAGTAGTTTGGAGAACTGGTAAATACCATTTCTTACTGGCCCCGCCCCCATTTATTCTCTGCCTCCTGAGTCCCAGGTGATCGGAAGGAAATGGGGATTTGCAGTATCCTTCCCCTGGAGTGGGAAGGGAATGGAGATTTTACAGTATCCTTCCCCTGCCATGCCCACTAAACCATACCTACCAAGCCATGCCACGCCCACCAAGCCATGTCATGCCCACCAAGCCCCGCCCACCAAGCCATGTCATGCCCACCAAGCCACACCCACAGAACCGGTAGTAAAAAAATTTGAATCCCACCACTGACTCTAATGCTATCTTAAGTTCAAAGCCAGTTGGTGACCCCTTGGGTCAGTCACTTTTTCTCAGTCCTAGGAAGGAAGCAATGGCAAACCACTTCTGAAAAACCTTGCCAGGAAAACTGCAAGTAAGGCTATATCTGAGAACAGGACATGATTGAGCTGAAGAAAAAAAAATCATTTAGTTATTTTACAATTTTAATAGCCTTCCCTAATCAAAAGATTTGAAGATCCATTTTACAACATATTAAGTACAACAATAGTAATAAATTATAATAGTGGCAATAAATCAATTATTAGCAAACTCAATATTTATACATAACAAATCAACTTTCTCTTTAGATGTATAGCAATCAATCTAATTAGAGTTGAAGGTCTGGATTTAAAAATCCAGACTGAGTGAACTTTACAAGCTCTGTTATACTCAGAAGTAAATTGAGACATTTAAAAAAAAAAACAGTTCCCCTGGGCCCCATCAATGTTTGTGCAATCAGAAGTCACGTTTCCATTTTTTAAAGCAGGAATGTTTGCCCTCCAGCTTTTCCACAGGATAGAGTCAAGATGGCAGCACCACATCTGTCTATGAGGAATTAAGATTGTACCAGATATGGGAGATGACAAAATAGAATTCTATTGAGAAATAGGAAAAGTGATATTATTCCAAATATTAAGGATTGGCTTTGGGGAATATGTAGTTTATCTATCTATCCCTTCTGGAAAAAGCAATATTTTCAGCTAATCAAAAAATGAAGTAATGGAGTCTTCCATATATAAAACTGTACATTCATCCTCCCCTTTCCTGCATTTATGCTGAATGTATGGATATATCCGGCAGCTTCATCATATGGACAACACTAAGAATTGAAATTAATCAATTCTCTGCTTGTATTTTTATTATGGTCATTTCTAAAACACCTGAATGTATTTTCTTTGCTTGTGTTTGTACATGTTTTTTTTTTCATAACAATGCCTCATAAGACATCCAATAAATCAACTCCATGGATAGATGGAATTTAGTTTTTGCTTCTCCAAAAAGCATATCCCATGTAATTCCATGTATAGAATGGCACAATTGATAGAAATAGATTGTGTATAAATTGTGTATTTATAATTCCATGTGTATTTATAATTCCATATTTATAATTCCCTTGTGAGTCTCTTGGACTGCAAGGCGATCAAACTGGTCAGTCCTAGAGGAGTTCAACCCTGACTGCTCTTTAGAAGGCCAGATCCTGAAGATGAAACTCAAATACTTTGGCCACCTAAAGAGAAGGAAGGACTCACTGGAGAAGAACCTAATGCTGGGAAAGATTAAGGGCAAAAGAAGAATGGGATGACAGAGAATGAGGTGGCTGGATGGAGTCACTGAAGCAGTAGGCATGAGCTTAAATGGACTTCAGAAGATGGTAGAGGACAGGAAGTCCTGGAGGAACGTTGTCCATGGGGTTGCAATGGGTTGGACAAGTCTTCGCAATTAACAACAAAATTCCATGGGGTAGGAAACTAGAAAGCAAAGTTTAGCCACTGCACTTATTATAACCTTTCCTATATGTACCTGCATGGTAACACAACTATCCATTATATTTCAGAATTACCGTAGCACAAAGTTTCTTAAATTCTTTATTTCTGAGCTTTGGGATGAATAATCCAAAATATTTTCCTTTCTCCTTTTTGAAGGATTGGTTTGAAATCAGAAGGCAGAAGTCTGAATGAAAGGATGGAAGGATTTGGGAATGTTCAGTCAGAAAGACCAACTGTATTTTACTGGGAAACAAACCAGGGTTTAACAATGAACATCTGTACCTGAATGGATCATAGTTTGGAGAATGTAGGAAAGAGAGGAGAGGTGACTTTCCTGCTGAAATTCGCCATGCCCTTCAGTTGCTGGATTCATGCAATTGATTTATACAATGCCTCGATATGACTATAAAACCTTGTTATTGTTCCTTCTGTGATCCAAGAGTATATTCTGTTAACCTACATTGCTTGAAACTTAGGGCCAAAGCAGGTGTACAGGGATGGGATGGGTTTTTAGATCCTTAATCCTGATATCCTGATCAATCAATTTATAAGCCTTAGGTAGATTCTCCATAAATCCTGATATTTCTATGCTACATTTCCTACATTGACCAGTTCAGAATAAGATGAATCAGAACATTTTTTTTTATTTTAGATATATGCAAAGAGAGAGTATATGCTGTTTCCTGCAGTGTTAGATGTTATGTTCAAAACTCGAAATCTCCCCAAGAAAAGAACAGTAGAAAGAAGGCAGAATGGGAAGAGACAGGAGAAGAGAGGGAAACAAAGGCGTTGTTTGGATTTTACTGCAATAAAGCCCTTGATCAATAAATGGCAGCAACTGGGTTCTTGGTGTTCTTTCACATTAGCTGTTCTCCTGCAGATGTTTTATTACCTGGCTAAGTAATATAATCAGTGCACAGGAGAGTGGAATTTGCTGATTGCTTATATATAGTAACCAGTCTTATCAGTCTTGGTTGGCAATGTAATTTTTCTCCTGATTATTTATCTGATACTATTTCCCATTTACCTGAATGTTGGTTGGTAGGAAGGATGTGCTCTGGACTAGACTTTTGACCTTTGATTTCATATGGATGAGATTTACCTCTACACAACTGTTGTTGTTTTTTAATTTGATTTATATGCCGCCCTTCTCCAGAGACTTAGGTGGCTTACAATGCGTTAAGCAATAGCCTTCATACTTTTGTATATTTATACAAAGTCAGCTTATTGCCCCCACAAACTGGGTCCTCAATTTACCTACCTTAGAAAGGATGGAAGGCTGAGTCAACCTTGAGCCTGGTGAGATTCGAACTTACAGTAATTGCAGACAGCTGGTGTTAATCACAATGCTTTTAGTCTGCTGAGCCACCAGGCCCAGTCAACTGTTGATGACTGATTGATCCGAATGCCATGTTTTTGAAAATTTTCTGATTTTTTAAACTTGGTTTAAAATGTCATTAGCTTTGAAATTGTGGTTGAATTTGTCTCTGTTCTGAGAATATAAATGATCAGAAATGATCATCATCATGTCTTCTTATCGGTATAGAAATAAAACTATTTATTTATTGCTATCAATGTTCATGGATGCATTCTGCCAATCTTCTACCTGCTTCTACTATATATTGGCTGTAACCTAGCTCAGAGAATACCAATAACACAACAGTTCAGCTTTGAGGTGAACTGGGAGCAAGGTACATCTTTCTACAGGCCTGAAGTACTTACCCCAAGTAAGTAAAGACTGATTGAGAGGTTGCCAAGAGAGGATACATTTAGACAAGGAAAAAACAGGACTTCATTTTTATTTGAATCCAGAGAAAAAAAACATCTGTTCCAAAGTAATACTGGTAGTTCTTACATACTCATGTTTAATCAAAAGGCATAATAATTCTTTATAAATAACCATATTTCTGGCAAAAAACACCCCAATTCTTCATTTATACTGCACTGTTTCCTTAGTGGTATGGTGACAGAGCAAGAGAAACTGCTAGAAGCTGTACTCATTTTCATGTATAGGTTTCTATGGAGACAGTAAATTTTTTTTGGTCATTCCAGCTTTTATTAGTGCCTTATTTTAGCTCAAAAATGGGAGTAGTGGATTGTTTAATGTCACAGAGCCAAACCTATGCCACAAACTCACCATAGTTTATGCATTATGAAAGTTAGCTGTCCTAAATGTGCACAGTATATATATATGAAGTAAACACCAATGAATTCAATGGAACAAGAGTGTATATGATTTTAGTCTGCTTGGTGTCAGGAAAATTTTTTGATGACAAGACAGAATGCAGGAATACTTGTCTCTTAAAACTATGATTTGCAGGTGAAGAGATAGTTGTTTAATAATTTAAGTTAGTAGTGTGAAAAGGTTCTGAATTCATAAACTTCCAGAGTTTTGAAATTAGGATTTCTGTGGAAATTCCTGTTTTATGGTCACCCATCACCCCATCGCAATGGGTCTGATACGACTTCGCAACTAACAACAATCTTTCCTGCAGTCAAAAGCTTAGACTTTGATCAATCAACTGTGAAAGTGGTTTATAAGTGATGCTCAACGCATATCAGAGAAATTTTGAAATGTTCCTTTGAGAAATGGGCAGTTATTTGCAGAAGAATGAATCAGTTTTTTTTATTCCAGATTGACAGTGTCAGATTCATCTTTCTGCCACAATGTGAGTGCCAATGGATGAAAAAAAAAATCACTTGGACACATTTTAAGCATTTATCTCTGGGAGAGAAAGATTTGGGAAAGAGGGAGAGTGCTATTTGTCCAGATGCAATAGCTACAGGGAAGTACCTGGAAACTTTACAAACTGGTCTATTTAAGTTATAAATGGAACAGTTACTAGCTGAAGTCTTATCTAGCCACTGTCAGAACTAACAAAACTGTAGAATTAATGATTAAAAACAAATGTTAAATCATTGTAGGCTTCTCAGTTCCAATGTTCAATTTATTGTCAACATGTTATTATTTTTTGCTAGGAAAAGCAGCTACGTAATAGCAGGTGAGATTATGCATTTGTCACAAGACATATTTCTTATCAAGTTTTCTCTTTTTTACTAAGCTTTCTCTTTCCTCTTTGTCTACTAGGAAAGGCAAACACAAACATTCATGGGGAGCCAAAAAGACGTGATTATTGTCAGAAGAAAAGTCAGTTTTTGAGAAAGAGAAAAGCATTTCAGTCACCCTTCCCCCACCTTTTACAAATCCTCCCTTCACACACACACACATGCGATAGGTGATAGAGAAAGATGATAAATGGATGAGAGAGAGAGAGAGAGAGAGAGAGAGAGAGAGAGAGAGAGAGAGAGGTGTTCTAACTCTCAAACATACAGGCTCTTTTTAAAGGAAAATCTCAAAGGATTTTTTTTTAATAGGAACATTCATGAACAAGTAAATATCCTTTAAAATGGCATTTACAAAAACCCTGGGTTTATAGATTTTGGCAGCTATCATTTGTAAAAGATTTTTTTAGTGGAATCCTCAGTCAGTTGGAGCTCAAAAGATTTTGTGATCAGTGTGCTTTCCTGAAAGCAGTGTGTAGCTAGATCTTCTGTCACTTGGTACTCAGAAAATATATAAAGCAAATATTTAGTGTAAATCCTCAGGTATTAACTACATGAAACCCATTTGTAAAGCTAACTTTAGCCGTGCTGTACTTAACTGTATATAAACAAGCTTGCTTGAAATGAAATATTTGACAAAAAACAAGTTAGACTAGAGGAACAAAACCCAACAGTCTGTAAACAGTAAAATAATAATAATTTTTAAAAATTATCTGACTAAATGGGGAAGGGAGATAATTCATTTAAATCTAATTGCAGTTTCTGGAAATTCTCAATGTTACAATACTTGGAGGAAATTTGGAATGAAAAAGTAAAGAGCAGAGCTGGTCCTATCATTAGATAGTATCAAGCAGCCATCATAGACAACTCAGGATTAATGAATTGGTAATGAATTGTTCATTATTCAATTTTCCATAATTGTAAGTACTAAAGAGAAAAAGATTTCTGTCCAGAAGAAAATACTTTATATGGATGAAGATAATGAGTAAGAGAAAAATAGTAATTGAGGAAAGCCTCAATTACTGCAATACAGATCCAGTTTTCAATCTTCAGAGTCAGATACTAATACTTCAATGGGTGGAACAAAATTATGTTATTGGTTATGGCAATCATTTATCAATTTAAGTTACTTTTCCCTGATCTGGTACCCTTTAGACATGTTGGTTTGCAACATTTCCAATTTCTAGCTAGCGAGGCCAAGAATATTCATGGGGCTGCAGGGCAGAGGTCAGAATAATGCAAGTTGTGTCACCACAAAGCCCTGCTCCTTTTCTATTTGCATCACAACATTGTATACATACAACAAAAGAAATTAATTTGCAGTGCAACACTGCTTTTGTCATTTTGATGAAAGCATTGTCACCTGAGGACCCAGCTACCACTAGACACCCTACCCTTTTATAGTGATTGAAGTTCAAGAAGATAGAGCAGAGGAAACCCAAAGAATAATTGCAGTCATGGCCTATTTTTTTTTTCTATTTTAAAAAAATCCATGTTTTGATGAATCAGTTTGCCATGTACAGTCCTGTGAAAAGCAAAGCACTCAGATTAAGTCTTTATTTAAACTTCTTATTGCAAATACTGGAATCTGCAAAGTACAAATATGTTCTTATGCTAAGTTCAAAGCAGAATGTAATCATCTGCATGTATTACTCCAGTAGTACATGACATTACATAGATTCCAAGTACTAGTCATTCTGTCCAGTGCTACAGAAGTAGATGTTTCTGTTTCCATTCTTCTGAATCCTTTCATCACTTGGATGGATATTCTGGAGGAACTTCAAGCTTCTGGAGAAGACTGGGGGCAGACATAGACTGCAGATAGGAGGGAAAATCCTTTCTGCCCAAATTGTCTATTTGTCTCAGTAATGGGACATTCCTCTGATGTATCCAAAGATGTACATCCACCAGTGGGACAAATCAGGCTTATACTAAAAATAATTAAAATTTATAGAAGAAAATTACAGGTAAAGAAAATTTATGGAAAATTATGCTTCTAGTGCCCATTAGTTTTAAAGCTATAGGCCACATACCTTATGCAAACAAAGTTAAGGATGTCAAAGGTACAGAGGTTTAATTCAAAGCAAGTTTCATAATTTGCTTGTTCTTTCTCACTAATCTCCAGGTAAAGGAAATTATGAAGCCCAAACCAATACAGAGCTATAGGAGTCATCTCTCTGTTATGACTTTGGCTGGCCTAACAGAGGCCTAGCTTTATTATGTTACAGAAGCTAGCTAAAGTTTCTTGGAAAGAGGACTTGATGAGATCAGAAGAGAATCTGCATCCTTAAGGTCCTGCCTCTGATGTTATCTATACTATTGAGGTTTCGTGGATCCTTGGGTCCTCTTATTCTTTTTATAAGAGGTAGAAACTAAATAAGGGCTTGGTTCTCACCAAGGATCCATATTCCTTATAAAAAGAAATGCATAGAATTATATGTGTTTATTTTATAAGAGGAGGAAAGAAAGTCATGAATTTATAGCTAAGTCCAGGTCTTCCTTCCTCAAATAAATGATTCATAATTTATAATCCCTGGTACATTGATAGTATTTAATTGGAAAACAACCTTCATTGACTAGGTTTCAGGACTCTTGCAAAACAAGCAAAGAAATCCCAGACTCTAATTAATTAATTACATAAATTTGCAGTCCAGAATATTTTTTAAAAATCATAATATATATCTGAATTCACTTATTTTGCAGAATGCTGCTATTGCAGAGATAAGAAATTAATCTGAAAAAAAGGCTTAGCAACAGATTTCGTTTACTCA